TGTTCTGGGCTTTGCCTCTACGTTCAGTTGCAGATTCTTGATCTCCGCATGCAACTCTTCTCTGCTGCCTGTCTCTTCTTGCCTTCGCCTGCTGTAACTCTCCTCCTTCTTATGCCCCCTTCTCCCGCAATTGTCACACGCCGGCATCTTAGGACAGTCTCGTTTGAGGTGTCCTGGTTCTCCGCATTCGTGGCAGCGCCTGCTGTCTGCGCGAAGAGGTCCCGCGTGCGGTGTCTCTGATATTGCCGCCGCTGCCCATGAGGTCTTTGCCTTGCCGTGCACCTTCCCGTCTTCTATCCAGCATTCTTTGCGCGTGTTCGGTCCTTTTAGCTAGGACGTACACCTCTTTCAGATTTATGCCTGCTCCCACTCCGTACACGGTGTTTCGCACCACATTGGGCAGCTCCTCGTTTAGACCGCGCACGAATTTCCGCTCTAGGAGCCTTTTGTCGCTGCTCTCCAAGTCCTCTGCCAGTTCTCTGAGTCTACAGTAGTATGCCAGCAGCGATTCCTCCTTGCGGCGGTGGAATTCTCTTAACTCCTCTACCCTTGCTTTTTGTCTGGCCAAGAAACTCCTTTTTCAGCAGCTCCACGAATCATGCCGTGGGGTTCGTAATCTCTCCGCACTCCATCTCTATTAATATCTCCTTCCGGGTCATGTGGTAGAAGGTCTCGGCTTCTCCCGTGAGGGTGACTACCATCTTGCGAAAGAACTCAGCTGGGTTCAGGCCGTCTCTCTCCCAACAATGTTGTACGGTCTCCAGTTGCATCAGATAGTTCTTCAACGTTGGTCCGACTCCTGGGATTCCCGTAAAGCGCTCCGACACTTCCGGCTTCAGCAGCGTCGCTGTCACCCATCGCTATGCTCCGGGGGATTCTTGCGACCGCGGCGCTTCTGGCTTTGCGATCGTCCATCTTTTCACCAGTTGCCGATTGGGAGGCGTCCGCAGCTCTCCTTCGGTATGACGATGCAGCCAGCTCGCTCTTGCCGCTGTATCTTCCTCTTCCATTCCCGGCATTTGCATCAGAGAGTTCTCTGTTCTCTGTCCTTCCCAAGAGCTCTAGCTTCCTTTGCCCGTCGTAAATTATGTCTCTCCTGGGTCCGAAGCGATATGGCGCGCCGGGTCCATCTGTTGTCCTCTTTCACGCGCGCGTTGATGCGATGTCCTGCACGTCTGCGATACTAGACGACCAAATGTGTTCACCGTCGCTTCGGCCGTTGCTTCTGCGGGGCAGCTTGGCGCCGCTTGTATATCTTCCCTTCCGTAGCGATGGCCAGATCTTAGGCGAAATCTATCGTTCATCCTAATCACCGAACCTTGCTTGTTTGTTAAAAGTTCCTAGATAGGTTCTAGATCTGCTCGGAGTCTTTGCTCGGCTGGCTTAGTCAATCTAGCTAGGGGATGGATGTGCTTGCCTTGGTTGGCTCCTCGGTATGCTTGGCTCTAGGATTTCGCTAGGCTCAACTTTTGCTCAGTGTGGAAACAAGCAAGCAAGCAATGCACTCCTTCCCCTACGCTTGCCTAAGTATCTTGCAGGTGGTTACCGTTGCTACCAACGGTGCAGCCACTTCGCCCGCATCTCAAATCATCCCGCTCGCCACCTTCAATTTCCCGCTTGCCTCCCTACAGTATTATCCTATACATGCCCCTTGTCTTGCTTTTATATTGTTTCATACTACTCTTACAACTAAAAGCACGACATCTTCCACTTTGAAATTGCTGTCACTTTACGGGGTTCAGATTTAATACCTTCCCCTGAAACCACGTGCCTTAGGAACTCCAGCTGCGATAGTAAGAATTCGCACTTAGAGCCCTTAGTAATCAGTCGGTTCTACTGTAAGCGCCGGAACACCTCCAAATCCCGATAATGTTCTTCCCGAGTCTTGCTGTACACCAGGATGTTGTCCAGGTAAACGATGACTTTTGTCGAGCATGTCCCGGAACACCCCATTCATGGCCAGCTGGGTGCGTGCGTCAACCCGAATGACAATACTGTATACTCGTAACCCCGTATCGGGAGCAAAACGCAATCTTCGGGCAGCCGTCGGCGAACACACGAGTTTAATGGTAGCCACATCGCAAACCGATTTTCGAGAAGTTGCGAGCCTCGCGAAGCTGATCGAGCAGGTCGTCCGCTCGCGGAATCCGGTAACACGACTTGACAATGTTCCGATTCAGCGCTCGATAGTCGATACACATGCGCAGGCCTCCGTCTTTTTTTGGTGTAAACAGCATCGGGGCGACGAAATGACGTGCTCGGCTGGATAAATCCCTTTGAGAGCAGATAATCCAACTGCTTACGCAACTCGTCGAGCTCCGGTTGGTTGAGCCGCCACTGGGACCGAATACTTGGTTGCGCTCTAGGTTCCAGCTCAATCCTATGGTCTTCGGGTCGCTAAGGTGGCAGCCCGTCTGAGAGGTCATCCGCGAGAATTTCGGATACTTCCGAATTATGCTCGCCTGGTCCTCCGGAACAGCAGCGCAGATCATGTCAATGTCGGCGACTTTTTGCGGATGCAACCACCTCGTACAACTGTACGGCATAGGTTTGCGCTCCTTGTCAACGTGATCGCGTTGACACGTGCCGTCATTGGCTCCTGCTCCATCCATTCCAGAAGTGTCACGCACCCCCTGTTGCCTGTCACTATTCATGCTCCCGTCGTCCAGTCGATCATCGGATTATACTGTTGTAGCCAATCTCACCCCAGTTGCACATCGCAACCATCAAGTGTTGTCGCCAACATTTTTCATGGAGAATCCGAAATCGTCGCCACGCTTCATCCAAATTATTCGCGCCTCATCACGTATCGCCAGCGGTGTCCCATCTACCAGCCTTCCATCGATCTCTGGTAAGCATCTGTCCAAATTGGCTCCGATTTGTTTGGCCGTTGACAGATTGATGAGGCTGTAACTAGCCCCTCCGTCATTAGATATTTATTTTATACCCGTTAACCCTCCCCACGACTAGCATAGGGTGATCCACGTGTTCATCCACCTTGTTTGTCTGGTTACGGTTGATACCCATATCGGAATCACTACTCAGTGTGGATGTTGATTGCCGGGCGACGGGGTCTCGTCAGTAGGTGGCCCGACTGCTACGACTCGTCTCTTTTCCCGACCCCTCTCCGTCATTCCTGTTCCCATATTTCAGCTTCAGGCAGTCTTTCCTCCAGTGGCCCGGTTGGTTGCAATTAAAGCACAGCCCTGAGACAGGTCTAGGCGCATCCACATCGTTGATTGTGGGCGGTTGAGGCGATCCACGAAAATGAGTGCTCTCCCGGGAACTTATTCTCGCCCAAAGCATCAGCGCATCCATTGATTCGGCCATCTGGACGGCATCGTTGAAGTCGCGTGGCCTCGTGCGTCGCACCTCGAACTGTATTTCGTATTTGAGGCCTGCGACGTATTTATCTAGCCGCTCCGTATCACCCATATCGTCCACTTGGTCGGCCAACGCGCAGAATGTCGCTGTGTAGTCTTGGACCAATGTCAACTGCTTCCAGGCACGCAACTTCATGCGAGCAGAATCCGAGGCAACATGCTCGAATCTGGTTCGCAAGACGGCGCCCCACTCCTTCCATGTACGTATCGTGGCCACTCCAAAGATTGATGCTTCTCGTTGCGTGACAGGTGTCGAGGTCCCGTGGTTCGTACGTGATATCCCTGCCAAAGTCCCCTCTGACTGCAGGGTGCGTCGCCACCACTCCAACGCAGGTCCCCGTATATTAATACTACAAAATTAATGCGGGTGGCATCATCAGCAATTTGGGCGGCATTAAAGAAAACCTCCACTACGAACAACCCTGCAGACATAGAGACGTTCTTGTCGCCGGGGTTGAACAGGGGCGGGTTCGTTGGTTTAATTTTGACACTTGTAGAAACTGCTGCTGCTGCTGGCACTGTTACCGCTGTTGAAGCCATCGCTGGTGCTGTCGCTGGTGCCTGTCATGGCGCAGTTTGCGACTGCCGCCGTTGTGCACGCCGCTCCTCTGCAGCATCCATGGAGCCTTCCAGCTCACTGAAAACGGCCTCGTTCGGCGTGGAGCTGCTACTCGTTTCGTCCCCGACGGGCGACTCCTGGCGCGCTTCACCTCGCGCCTAACGTAATTCGGCATTTTCCTCCCTCAGGCGCTCGACCTCTGCAGACATTGTCTGCATGTTGGCCTGCATCGCCAGGAACTGTTGCAGAAACTCGTTAAACTTGGCCTGCTCCATAATTCTAAGGCTTCGCCTAACGCTCAGGGGGTTAACATCGATAATTATTTCTTTGATGAAGGCGCGAACGCTAACGTAGTTGGAGTGAAATAATCGTATCTATTTCACAGCCGACCGTTTTGCAGCCCACCAAGTCTATCGCACCCCGTTACTAAACTAACCTAGGAAAGTAGCTCTGGTACCAAGTTTTATGGGTTGTAATAAGAAGAGTACACAAGATTCAATATCGTGGAAGTGATAACAGCAACTAAACAATTAATGGGACCGAGGTCGCGGGACCGTGCATGGTTGGGTGCAGGTTCGGGTTGAGAAACCCGAAAGCGACCTGAGGGACGTTCGGATGACGAGGTCGTCGGACCGAGCCTGGAACTCCGAAAGTTGGAGTTTTATACGCATGGAGTGCCTCAGTGCGGAATTAGGGAATATTCCTTACCATAATGATCACCTGGGTACAATGCGAAGCTAAAAAAGGCACAATACAAGGCAAGGTAATCAGGAGTTACGAGAAGGTTACGAGGGTCGCGAAGCGTCCCGAACAGGTTACTCTTGAATTCGGTAGAATCACGCATTATGCAAATTTACGCGGTGATAAACCGAAATGCACTGAATTTGGTGCACGTAACCTACTCGGTGCCTATAACTATAATATTTATAGTAAAGCAACGAAACTAGGAAAACAAGTACAATAAATATAAATAAGCAAGATAATGCAAGGTAAAGTAAATATGGGTAAGCGTAGACGCTGTAATCTCACACAGATGCTCACTTGTGGCTGCCACTCCTATGGCTGCCAAACCTGCCACTGCCAAACCTGCTGCTTCCACGCGTGCTACTGCCACACCTGTTGCCACACACGCTGCTGCCACCTGCATTGATGCCACCTGCATTGCTGCCTCCTTTGCGACTGCCATACCTACTGTCGCTGCTCATGGCGATGTGGGTTCTTCTGGCGTGACCACAGCGGGTGCTAGTCGCAAGGGACGCCTCTCTTCTAGGGGGAATAAGGTGGATAATGGGGAGGGTGAGGCCGTAGATGATGTCAAGGTGAAGGTGGAAGGGGAAGAAAACTGTAGACAAAGGGAAGGTGGAAGGCAAAGGTGGATTATGGTCAGGAGACCAGTGGAGGTCATGTGGGGGCGAAGGGGGTGGTTTGGGTAGGAAAGAGAAGAGACGCGATGGCAATGAGGCGAAGGTCAGTGCAAGCAAGCAGAAGCGGGCCTTAAGCGTGGTCCAAAGCAGATGACTCAGTGGTGCGCGCATGATTCGGATCTTCTGCGAAAACTCCACCTTGATGCCTCTTCAGGCGTACAACGTCGCCCAACAGCTCTGGAAGATAAACCGGTTGAACATCGTTGTACAGGCGAAGCAAGAGGAGGAGGGCGAAGAGAAGGGCAAGACTGGATTGGGCGAGGAGAAGGGCAAGGAGGAGGGCGAGGTGGAGCGCGAGGTGGAGGGCGAGGTAGAGGGCAAGGAGAAGAGTGAGGAAGAGGGCGAGGAGGGGGAGGGCGGCGAGGAGGGGGAGGAGTGCGGCAAGGAAGGTAGCTAGGAGGGTGAGAAAGAGGGTGAGGAGAATGTAGAGGGGGGTGAGGACGAAGAAGGTGCATCAGGTAACGACGATGTTCAGGAGGTGCAGCTGGGGCGAGTGTCCGGTGATAGAGATGTGAAGAGAGGGGTTGGTAGTGCAAAGCAGCAGTGGCGCGTGTAGTAGAGGTAGAAAATGGAGTGAGGCATAGGTGGATGCGAGTCAGACGGAGACAAAACTTCATGCGTCTCGTATCACGAACGCAGTTGCCGACGCCCTTCATTGTTGATGACAGTGTTGTTCTTGAAGTTTCGAGGGTGAACGAGGCAAGCAGAAGCGGTGCGCGGGCCGGGCCATTGCGATTCAAGCGAAATAAGTCTGCACAGTAAGAGGTAGCCGAGGTGTGCCTTCCCCTTCTCGGCCTCTCTCCCTTCTTTGTTGCACGCGACCCCCTCTACCCCTTCTAAATGTCCTTCCCCTTTGTTGTCCTATGTCTTCTCCTATTTTTGCTCTCTCATGACTTGTTCTTCTCTTCATTTTTGCTCACTCTGTCTTGCTCTATATATTTCTCCCCTTCCCCCCTCCCCTCCTCTTTCTTTACATTCCGCCTCTTTTGCACATCCCTCCAACACCCTCCTCTTCTCCCTCCTCCCTCCCTTCTACCCCTTCCAATTATGTATCACCATTTGTATTTTTTTCCCTTCCAATTTCTTCTTCTTCTTCCTCTTCTTCCTCTTCACTTCTTCTTTCTTCCTTTCCTCTGTTGCACTTTCTTGATTTGTCATTCTTCTTCCCTCCCTTGCTTTCTCCTTCAACTTGTTTTCCCCCTCTCCTCCTCTCCTTCCTCCACCTCACTCCTTCCCTCTGATACATCCCTTCACTCCCCTCCACCTTTATTTCCCCTTTGCCCACCCCTCCCTTCTCCCCCACCTTTCCTCCACCTGTTTGACCCCTTCCTGCCTCTCTAGACCCATCATCCTTCCACCTGTCAGATCTCCTATTCTTACACCCCACCGCGCTTTTCTCCGTCAATGGGCAGATTGCAATAGCGATTGTTGCTATGGCTTGAGCCCAGCAATGAGAGTGAGAGTAGTGTCGAACAAGGTTCATGCTAAAAGTTAACGGTCCGATCAACCTCCGGACTTGCTTGCATCTAATGCATTAAAATTCACTTGCACATCCACCAGCAGGCCCTCGGAGTGAACTTAGGCAGAGTGATCAATCAGTATCGTCCATAACAAAAAAAAACCAAAGACCTCAATTATTCCGAACCCGGATAACGTGCTGCGCGAAGCGGGTCCTCGTCCTGATGCAGCGCATCTAACAATGTCCCAAGTGTGTTTGCCGAGCGATGTCCTCGCCATTCACCCCTTGGTCGAGCCATGGCCGAGCCGTTCACACCTTGGCCGAGCCATTCATGCCTTGGCCAAATTTGGCCGAGCCATGTACCCCTTGGTCGAGCCATTCTCCTCTTGGACGAGCTATGCCATTCACCCTTTTGCCGAGCCATGGCCGAGCCTTGGCCGGGCCATGGGTGAGCCATTCACCCCTTGGCCGATTCATGGCTGAACCATTCACCCCCAAACGGAGCTAGGGCCGAGGTATTTACCTTTTGAACATGCTATGACTGAGCCATTCACCACTTAGCCGAGACATTCACCAATTTATCGAGCTATGGCCAAGCCATTCCTCCATTGGCCGAGCCATGGCCGAGCCATTCACCCCTTGGCCGAGCATTAGCCATGCGTCCTTTGGCCGAGCCATTCACCCCTTGGACGAGATATGGCCGAGCCATTCACCCCTGCCAGGCTATGGTCGAGACATTCACCCCTTGGCTGAGCAATTCACCCCTTGACCAATCGATCTTCTAGTCATTCAACACTTGGCCGAGCCATGGCCGAATCATTCACCACATCACAATTACCATTACCACATCACAGTAACCAATACCTCATCACAACTATTAGCACCACATCATCATTGCCATTACCCCGTTATCATTACCGTTACCGCATCACCATTTCAATCATCCCATCATCACTACCATTACCCCATCACCATTACCATTATCGCATCACCATTACACTCATCACATCACTATTACAATAACCGCATCACGATTACCATTATCCCATCACTATTAGCATTACCCCATCACCATTCTCATTACCCCATCACCATTATCATTATCACATCACCATGATAATTATCCCATCATCATTACCACTACCACATCGCCATCTCCACTACCGCGTCACCGTTGCCATTATCCCGTCACCGTTACAATTAACCCATCACCATTATCATTACGATCACCCAATCACCGTTACCCCATCACCTTAAAAATACCACATCAACATAACCATTACCTCATCACTATTACCATTACCTTATCATCATTGCCAATATCCACAACCATTACCTTAACACCATTACCATTACCCCATCACCACTACCATTGCCCAATCACTATTACCATTATCCCATCACCATCCCATTACCACATTACAGATACCATTACCACATCACCAGTACTATTACCGCATCACCATTATCATTATGCCACCATAACAAATGCCCTGTCACCACTTCTATTTCCCTATCACCATTACCATTACCCCATCACCATTCCTTTTGCACCATCATCATTACCATTATATCATCATTATTACCATTACAGCATCTCCATTACCATTACCCCATCAGCATTGCCATTACCGAATCACCATCACCATTACAACATTTCCGTAACCATTACCCTATCACCATTACCATTCGTCACTATTCCGGGATGGCTTTTCAGCGTTGAGGTGTTGTTCAACGCTGCTAATATTAATGACGATACCCCGTGCATTAACATTGCAGTATCACTTTTGCGCGTTGCTGCGTTGGAGTGGTTGCGTCGTACTATGAGGTCTGATGGGACTTCAGCAGGAATGTCACGTGCGAACGACAGAGATTCAACAACTGTCGAGCAACAAGCATCGTCGATGTGCGGAGTGACTACGATACACACATGGAAGGAGTGCGGCATCGCCTTGCGAGCCTGATCCGTGCATGTATCCCTGACGAAGTTTATGGAGGCGCATAACAATTACACATCGAAATAACTGCCTCAGTTCGATTGGCGTTTTTTGGACTAAACAGCTCATGGGCTGCCTTGTTTGCGATGCAGGATCTGCTCTGAACATGGACCTGACAATGCATACCACGGCCCCAATGGCAGCAGTGGGAGGGATCTTCAGCTTGGGTTAATGAGGGCTCATGAAGTCAGCACACGCCACAAGTATGCCATCAGCAAACGCAAGAATCTCCTTGCAAAAAACTAACAAGTTTTATTTTTTACGACAATGCGAATGCAGACTCGAAAAGCGCGCGACACCACTGATGAGAGCCATCGGGTTCATCTGCGACAATGACTCTCCTATCGCAATCTACACGCAGAATTCTTGGCAGAAGAGGGTGTTGTCGACATCCCGCAACAGACCTACGGGGTGTACATCACGCAACGAGTGTTCTATTATTGCAATGATACTGTTGCTTATCATATTCACGTACTCAAACAAGTTTTATTAACCGTGTGTTGCAATCTCTTGCAGGTACGGTTTCAAGGAGATGATGAGGGCTATGTCAACGTACCAGCAACAACAACAGCTGCAGCACATTCAACCGTCGAGGTTCATTGGATTTAGCTGTGATGAAAGCACAGACCGGGCACGTGGCAAGCATCTTATTGTGTTCGCTACCTTTATGAGGAGGCGTATGGTCGTCACTGAGTTTTTAGCATTGTTGACGACAAGTGTGATGCGGGATCGCTGTTCACGGTGCTTCAAAGTCACATGGAGTCTATTCGCGTTGACCTGCACCAATTTTGTCGGCATCAGCACCGGCAGCGCTTCGATGATGACGAGCAACAAGAGTGGTCTCACCATGAGACTATGGGTCCGCGAGCCAGACCTCATCGCCTGTCATTGTATCGCGCATAGGTAGTCCTACATTTGTGTTACGTTTGAATTTACCTGTTTAAAGTGTAATGTTGGCGCTTTGTGTTATTGTCGTGCAAGAAGGCCTCGGTTGTGAAAACTGTGGCACTAAAATATCAGACTTCGATATGGTGGACAAAGCTGTGCGATGCTTGTGAGAGATCGCTGGCCGCTCGTCTATCTGGTACGAGCGATTCTAGGTCCTGTAGATGGAAATCCACAGTACGAGGATGGCCAACCCACGTCACATCGCATCGTTCTGTAGCCAAAACCCAGGCACAAGTACGGCGGGTCGATGGGAGACTGCATAAGACTGTGCAAGGCGTTTGCACTAGAAGTTGCGAGCAATATGAACGTGCGGATGCGGAGCCTGAAGCAGATGGGCGGCAGCAAGCTTTTCAAAGTGGAGACGTGGCCGACGAATGCTGAGACCCGGGAGCGCATGTGTATTCAGACTGGACCAGAACGCTGAACTATTAGACATGAAGTTTTCAGGTGGGTTTTCTAATTTATCATAGATGCCAACCACTTGGGACGTACTTGGTTTATTTCCGTGCCACGTATTTCGCATGCCTGTGGTCGGTGTACTTGTTAACCTACTCAACCACAGGGCAGCGGAGTTGGAGGTGAAAGTTTTTGCCACATCCTCTCGCATCACGACGAGGACGAGGACTTTCACAATGGGTTGGCAAGCATGCTGTGATCAAAGGATTGGCAGCGCAGTTACAACCTGATGCTCCTGTGGTAGGCTCCGCTGCCGCTACGTACTATGAAATACGAGTGCGGCTTCTGTCGACAAAATGTCACTAAGAGCCGGTTCCGGACTTCACTATCCGACGCACGTCTATGCGGGCTGATGAACCTCAACATGCTGGACAACGAGTACAACTGGGCTGAAGTCGTTGAGATCTGGCGCACGCAAAAAATGATACCCACAAGAACACCTGCCGCAGTCCGACCGTGCGTGGGGAAAGGCAAGGAGAAAACGGAGGATAGCGAACATGATAGTGATGCAGTTGTGAAAAATAGGAGCTGAAGTTA